CCACTTACATCTGACAGTAATAAACTGTCGCTATCGCTTTCCTCGTTGAAATTGACTATAACTGGCTCTATGATGGTGTCGATGTGGTAGTCAAGCTGCCACATTTTTGTTTCTTCCTTCACAACATGACGGATAGCATTGTGCCAAGCTTCGGGCGTTACTAGCTGTATGGAAGTCTCAAGTAAAACCTTAACGTCTGGTAATTTGAAGGTTGTGTTATGGCGCGCAATATAACCCTTCACTTGAGCCCAGATGAGCTCTATTGGGTTCAGTTCACAGTGGTAGGGCGGTAACCGCAGCACAGTGACACCACATTGACGGGCCATCTCATCAGTCACGTAGACGACTATGGTAGGAAGCATTATCCATGAAGATCACAGAGTTGGGCTCAGCTCACTGAAGCACCCCTTGAAACCAGCTCTCGAAGCAGCTGGCATTCATTTCGTCATGGTAATCACCTCCTTTCTTCTGGACGAAAATCAAGTCACACTCTTCTAAAAAGCCACTATCGCTACCAATATGAGTTACGATCAATCTTTGACCTTTCCCTGACGGTCCACGAAGACCTGTTGACAAACCTTCAATGCTTGCTTGTCGGTTACTCACTACGTTTTTGTCCATCCAGGTTTTTTTAACTGTGTGACCTGCATTTACCCATGTCTCGTCCAAATAGATTTTTCTGCTTTGTCGTCTATATTCAATCATTTCGCGTAGGTATTTTCGACGCCAGGCGACTATTTCAGGTCTCTCTATCAATACTGACTTCCGATTACGCGTTTCGTAACGAAAATTAATTTCGTGCAGGGATTTCCTCATTACCTCGACTCTCATTTGGGGTATAATTTCATTTACCTTGATCGCTGCATGTACAGCCTTGAGGGTTGGTATCTCATTCCTAAAGAAGAATGAATGTACGGTTCGCCTTAACGCCATTTTGCTATCGTCATCCAATTTATTCGAACCCTCATATTAGAATCCTGTTTTTAAATACAGTTTGGATATTTTTATGAGTATTGCGTTAGGCTTTACGCAACGTGAGCGTGTTAAAACACGTTCGCGGTGGTTGAGGAAGGAATAAAGAAAATATATACTCAAATTTATTTTGTTTGTATGGACGGTGGTGTTTCTGAATTTGCAATACAGGCAGGTCGCTTAAGAGCACTTTCAACCCTACCGCAAACGTACTTCCAGAACATCTCACTTGATTTTCGACCGGTTTCGATGCAGTTTTCAACTCAATGATCAGATGAAATTTGTTGAGTTCAAGAAAAACTTATTATTTGACATTTTTTGCCAAAATAAATAATTATACAGTAATGGACAAAAGTGTATAGACAAATTAATATTGTGCTGTATTTCTTTTTTAACTTGTTTTATTAATACACCAACCTGTATACATAATTCGTTATAGCATAATACTCACTTATACATAAATAAATTCATTAGACTGCCTTCAATAAAAAATTAATTGAAAAAACTGGAACTATGAAGGACAAAAATATATAGACAAAGCAAAACAATTATAGAAAAAAGAAGCTAAGTTCATTGAATTATAGTAAACCAACCATATTTGTGTTAATATTTTGTAGCATAACCATTATCATCAATCATCGCCCGGCATCGTCTCGGCATAGATTGTAGAAGTTTCTTGATATAAGATTCATCAATCTGTCTCCACTTTTGCTCTACAGCGGCAAAAAGTTCATCGTTGTTTGAATAATTTTTATCTCGTATTTGCTTATCTAAGTATTCCCATAGATTTTCAATGGGGTTTATATCGGGAGACTGTGAAGGCCATTTGAGAACTGGTATTTATTCATCCAGAAAGAATTTCTTTGCGAGATTTGAAGTGTGCTTCGGGTCATTATCTTGCTGGAAGATTGATCTTAACGGCATATTGTCTTCCATATAGGGTAACATGACATGCTTTAGTATGCCTGTGTATACAAACTTATCCATAATGCCATCTATTCTATGTAAAGGTCCCATCTCAAGCGCAAAGAAGTGTAGACACTGTGGTTAGGTGTTGTCAGGCATGGCTTCGAGAAGGCCGTACGCAAAGAGCAAGGGGCACTGGACGCCGCCGTAGAACAACAGACCGTGAAGATCGCCGCCTAAGATTATTGGCCTTAATGGACCGTTTCTCCACTACCAGGTCCATTGCAAATGAATGGTTTGCAGAACACGGAAGACCTATTGGCATGCGAAATGTTTACCGACGAATGAGAAGTTTTGGCTTGTTTTCATACCGGCCTTGAGTGGTGCAGACAACGGTCACTCTGGAATCAGGAATGGAACAGTATTGTCTTTAGTAACGAGTCTCGATTTTGTTTAGGCATGCACGATGGTCGTGCCAGGGTTAGAAGGCGACGTGGTGAAAGGAGGAATCCACAGTTTTTTGTTGAAAGACATGTTCATCACACTATTGGAGTTATGGTTTGGGGTGATATAGCTTATGGTTCCAGGTCACCTTTAATCCACGAAGTTCTAGAACCCCATCTTTTACCCGATCTTGACACCCTGGCAGATCCAACTTTCCAACAAGATAATGCCCGACCACATGTTGCAAGAGTCACAATAGACTTCTTTCAACATAATGATGTCACATTGTTACCATGGCCACCAAGATCTCCCGACTTATCCCCAATTGAGCACGTGTGGGATATGATGGGTAGGAGATTGCTCAATTTGCAACGTCCTCCTCAGACTCTAGAAGCACTTCGAGAGGAGCTGGTGGTTGCCTGGAGTGAGATACCACAGGAGGACATTGACCACCTGATCAGAAGCATGCCTAGGCGCGTTGGAGAATGCGTAGCACATCAGGGTGCATCCACACATTATTAAAGGTCAAAGGGCTTTAAAGCAGTGCAATCATTTTGAAATTTTTATCATTTACTTATTATGCTTCATTAAGTACTTATACAAAATTTTATTAAAATAAAACCATTTAAACTGGGTGTTCGGATTTATATGTCACTTAGTATATGAAGGTTTAAAAAGTACTGGTTAGGAAATGGAAAATTTAATCTGAGAATGACCTACAACTTACAATGTATAGCTCGTGCCTTCTATGTACATATGGATTTTAAGTCTTGGGACCACGTGCAGCCAGGCTTTTATTTGTTTTTTAAATGAGTTTAAATTATTTACTTTTTTGTAAGACACTGGGATGGTATTGAAAATTCTTGGACAGAGAAATATCCAGGACCTTTCTCCGGCTTTGGGACTACATTCTGAGACAGCATTTTCTGACGGGTGCCAAGTTAGACAATAGAACGGTTTTTCCAAGAACCTTTTTGTTTATATTTGTTCAATATTGCCCAAACTTCTTTACGCTTCAGCTTCAAATTTTTGGCAATGTCGACTTGACGTTGACCATGTTTGTATAACTCGATGATCTTAGTTTTCACGTCGAAAGAAATTTCTGGACCACGCGGCATGGTCATCACTCAACTTATTCCACAATACTTGATGAACACAAACTAATCCTCTTCTGACACGAAGCTGTACTAAACTAATGTTGAAAAGAATTTGTCTACATATTTTTGCCCTCATAAAAAAGTGCTTATGTTCAGACTTGTATTGTGTTCATTGCACATAATGTAAAAACAAGGAATTTAGTTTTTCTGCTAATAACGCATTTGTGGAGCATTATGGAGCAATGAAGTATGAATCCGTTTTCTAAAGGTAAATATTCATATTTGTCTAGATACTTTTGTCCATTACTGTATATCATAAGCTGTAACTTTTTTTGTGGAATCTAGTAGTTTCCGAACATGAAAACTATTTCTTATAAGCAATTACCAAATTTGAAGCTTCTGCGTTCAAAAACAACTGAGAAAATCCGGAACTACGAAATGTATTTTCTGATTCCGTGAAATACGAGTGATGTCTTTTAAGTTTTGCATATAGAAACATAGTAGGCCACGCGGATCGAACGTCAGTACTGAATCTTAACCTCACTCTTTATTAAACTTAAATTCAAAGTTTCACAGCAATACGTGCAGTGTTCTCACTACAGTGAATTTTTAAGTGTAACCAAGTCACTAGAATGGAATTGGTGTCAAAAAACGCTTGACCATTTCAATTCCGGAAACTCAAAAAATGTGTACAGCATTGTTGGTGGTGATGAATCGTGGATTTACTGTTATGAACCAGAAAATAAACGACAGTCGGCTGTTTGGGTGTTCCAAGGTGAAGAAAAACCAACAAAAGTCATCCGTTCTTGAAAAAGATCGTCGCGACATTTATGTCAAAAGCGGGTAATATTGCAACAATTCCTCTTAATGAGCAAAGAACTGTTACTGCGGATTGGTATACCACCATTTGTTTGCCAAAAGTCATCACCAAGCTTCGAAAAATCAACCCCGAAAGAAGAATCATCCTCCACCAAGACAATGCAAGCTCGCACACAGCCCAAAGAACAAGGCTATATTTAACGAAAGAAAACGTGGAATTATTAGACCATCCTCCATATAGTCCCGATCTAAGTCCTATCGATTTCTTTACTTTCCCGAAAATTAAAAACAGACTGCGTGGTCAAAGGTTCCAGTCACCAGAAGAAGCAGTTGACGCATTCAAAAATGCCGTTTTGGATCTGCCAGCTAACGAGTGGAATTAGTGCTTCGAAAATTGGTTCGAGCGCATGCAGATGTTTATTAATCTTCGTGGAGAATACTTCGAAAAACAATAAAGTCATTTAAAACTACCTACCGTGTTGTTTTATTCCAATATGCAAAACTTAAAAGACATCCCTCGTAGCGCCGCCTAAAGGCTATCAAGCGGCCATTTCAGAAACTTGCAAATATTTTCCACTTTTTTCTCTTGGCCGTTTTGGTGATAAAAATGATTCATACCTGTTTAAATGCGGCATGCGAATACTTTTTTCTTTGTATTCGAATCTAAATCTGAATCTGAAATGCAGTACGCAAGATTCAAGTTTGCATGAGCGTTAGACCAAATACGTACCATTATCCAAGTCGGGATCGTCAATGATACACGTCCTACAAATGAATCTCTTGCACAATCCTCTGATGCCGGGTGCGGCTAAACAGCAGAAAAGTATGATGATACCGAGGACGGCCAGCATCACCACCAATGTGGCCACGCCCTGCTGCTGGTGGTGACTTCCCGAAGATGGCGATCCTGCGGTGCTGGCGCCCGTTTTGCCTCCGCTTGAATCTGGAATAAAGTGTAGTTGAGTAGATTGAAACCAAGATTCTATTACTACTATTTATTTTACTTATACAGGGTGACTTCGAAGTTGAGTCATTTATTTTAACAGTGAGTAGATCTGATCAAAAGAAATGTTTTTTTCCTTTACCATTTTTCTGGTAAAATTAAAGTAACAAAGTTATAGCCCTTTGGAAGTTTGAGTACCGCCCTGTCTCAATAATAATATTATGTGCTCGTGTTTGCCAACAACTGATATAATCCGCCTTGTCGGTTCATCGCATCGGAAACAAAAAAGCGAAAGAATTTGGAACGATGTTTTTACAATTATTTTATTCAGTTGTATACAGTCAGTGTCAGTCGGTAATGCGTGAGTGAATAGTGGTGTCTGTTGCGTGGCTCAAACGAAATAAAAAATGGCACATGTTTACGAAAATGCTGAACTTGTGGACATGATTCTTATTTACGCGGCATCACGGATTTATGCGGATCGGTTTCCCAATCGAGTGCAACCAATCCCTCGTGCCTTTGTTAATGTAGTACAAAGGGCTCGTGAATCAGGTGACTTAAGACCTCACAGGTGAGGGAATGCCGGTGCTCCAAGACCGTACGATCAAATACAGGTCCGCACTGAAATACTTGTCGGGAGGATACTTTATAAAACAAGGTAACATTTTTTTTTAATTTTTTTTTTATTTTTACACATATTTTGGTTTATCTTCCTTCTACAATCATTATCTGAAAATTAATGACTCAACTTCAAAGTCACCCTGTATATTTCTCAACAGATACAAGATCCAATTACAGAGAGACACTAAACTGCCGTCGTAAGCCAGAAGATAGTGTTTTACCAATTTTGTTCCTTAATGATATGCGAATATTTAAGGGTTTGCATCTACTTGAAAAATTAATGCTAGTTTGCTTTATAAACTATGGTCCAAAAATGTTTCCTTACAAAAAACTCGGGGTCTTAAAGTTTTAGGAAAAAATGGAAATTAATTAATATTTTCAGAACCGCTTCAGATATTTTACTGATATTCAGTACGTAGTGAAAGTTAATAAAGTTGCATATTTTTCAATGCATAAATAATTTGTAGCTTTAACAGTGGCGTGCGTACGGGTATTGACTTCGATATTTTTTAAGAAAACAATAGTACGTTAATAGTTTTTTGCCAAATAAGAATTATATTTGAATTCCCCGTTCAATTCCAAACAAATGATCTCTCTTGAACTGGTTTCCTTCGATGCGCCATTTTTGTGTAAAAAAATAAAATTCGTTCTATTGTCCAACTTGGCATCCGTCAGAAAATGCTGTCTCAGAATGTAGTCCCAAAGCCGGAGAAAACACTCATACAAAGATCCTGGATTTTTCTCTATCCAAGAATTTTCAATACCATCCCAGTGTCTTACAAAAAAGTAAATAATTTAAACTCATTTAAAAAACAAATAAAAGCCTGGCTGCACGTGGTCCCAAGAGTTAAAATCCATATGTACATAGAAGGCACGAGCTATACATTGTAAGTTTTAGGTCATTCTCAGATTAAATTTTCCATTTCCCAACCAGTACTTTTTAAGCCTTCATATATACTAAGTGACATATAAATCCGAACACCCAGTTTAAATGGTTTTATTTTAATAAAAGTTGGTGAATGTATTTATCTTACTGTAAATAACAAGTGAAAAAAATTTCAGCCTTATCAGTTAGACATTCCGGTTTTTATACTGCTTTTTTTTAATTCACTAACGCCCTAAAAATGAATATTTCAGCCGCAGTAAAGAATCAACGTTGGCGGATTTTGGTTCTTGACATCCTTTACGATCGGTTACGATGCCTACGATTTCGTCAACTTAGTGAGTTTGATAGGGGCCGTATAGTGGGACTTCGGGAAGCTGGACTCTCTTTTCGGGCAATTGCAGTTAGAGTGCAAAGAAGTGTAGACACTGTGGTTAGGTGTTGTCAGGCATGGCTTCGAGAATGCCGTACGCAAAGAGCAAGGGGCATTGGACGCCGCCGTAGAACAACAGACCGTGAAGATCGCCGCCTAAGATTATTGGCCTTAAGGGACCGTTTCTCCACTACCAGGTCCATTGCAAATGAATGGTTTGCAGAACACGGAAGACCTATTGGCATGCGAAGTGTTTACCGACGAATGAGAAGTTTTGGCTTGTTTTCATACCGGCCACACTGGGTCCTCCCTTTAACTCGAGAACACCGACGTGATCGCCTTGACTGGTGCAGACAACGGTCACTCTGGGATCAGGAATGGAACAGTATTGTCTTTAGTGACGAGTCTCGATTTTGTTTAGGCATGCACGATGGTCGTGCCAGGGTTAGAAGGCGACGTGGTGAAAGGAGGAATCCACAATTTTTTGTTGAAAGACATGTTCATCACACTGTTGGAGTTATCTTTTACCCTATCTTGACACCCTGGCAGATCCAACTTTCCAACAAGATAATGCCCGACCACATGTTGCAAGAGTCACAATAGACTTCTTTCAACATAATGATGTCACATTGTTACCATGGCCACCAAGATCTCCCGACTTATCCCCAATTGAGCACGTGTGGGATATGATGGGTAGGAGATTGCTCAATTTGCAACGTCCTCCTCAGACTCTAGAAGCACTTCGAGAGGAGTGGGTGGTTGCCTGGAATGAGATACCACAGGAGGACATTGACCACCTCAGAAGCATGCCTAGGCGCGTTGGAGAATGCGTAGCACATCAGGGTGCATCCACACATTATTAAAGGTCAAAGGGCTTTAAAGCAGTGCCCCCCCTAGACAGACTCCTAAATGCGTCCTTGCTATGTGATAGGCGATATGATACGGAATGTTTCCTTGTATTCAATGAAAAAGTAATAATTCATATCGTCTATCCACAGTCGTAATAATATCTCTAATATGAAACCTCTAAGCGTCACATATACGAGGGCGGTTCAATAAATACACGTGTTAGAAATGAAGACACCGTTTTTTTTCCAAAAAATTCCTTTTTATTTTTCAACATAATCCCCTTTTAGAAAGATACACTTTTCCCAACATTCCTGCCCTTTTCTTAACACCCCCCCCAAAAAATAGGATTTGTCGAACTCTTCAAAATACGCCACTGTCTCGGCGATGACTTCCTCGTTTGAGCTAAATTCTTTTCCCGCGAGCCATTTCTTCATGTCAGGGAACAAGAAAAAGTCGCAGGGGGGCAGATAAGGTGAATACGGGGGGTGCGGCAGCACTTCATAAAGCAATTCATGCAGTTTTGGGGCGTCAACTCCGGATGAATGTGCTGGTCCGTTATCGTGGTGAAACAGCACCTTCTTTTTCGTCATATGTGGCCGTGTCTCCTTCAATTTTTTGTCGAAGCGGTCCAATAACTAACTATAGTGTGCCCAGTGATCGCTCTTCCTTTTTCTAAAAAATCCGCATAGGATGACGCCGTTCGCATCCCAAAAAATCGTCGCCATGACCGTTCCGGCCGATGGGACCGTCTTCGCTTACTTTGAAGCAGATTCTGAATTGAATTGTTTTGATTGTTGCTTAGTTTCTGATGTGTAATGATGAATCTAGGTTTCATCGACGGTGACAACTCGACCCAAAAACTCCTTCGGATTTCGCTTAAATTGCTCCAAACATTGGTTCGAAGTTAACAGCCGCATCCGCTTGTTGTCCACCGTGAGCAATCGAGGCACCCATCGGGCCGACAATTTTTTCATAGCCAACTTATCATGTAAAATATTGATTGCCGTTCCGTTCGACACACCTACTGGACTTCTTGAATGATTTCCTCGGTAACCACGTCTACCGGGTGTCCTGGTTAATCCTCATCAAAAAAGGATGTTCGCCCACGTTTAAATTCGTTGAACCAATATCTAACTATGGTCATAGATGGCGAAGTGCTCCCATAAACAGCATCTAACTTTGCTTTTATCTCCTCGCACTTTTTCCCATCCAAAAACAAAAAGCGAATTACCGACCGATTCTGCTGTTTTTCCATCTTACCGAAAATCACGAAACACGCGTTACTCGAATAGCCGCCAAATCCAAACTAACCTATCAATCACTCTGAAATTTGTTGTGCCGTCGTTTGATAGATGGCAGCACAGGATGACAACATTAACTTCTATCCGGAACGCCCTCTGTCGTCAAACGCGGGTACTTATTGAACCGCCCTCGTATTGCTATTCAGTAACACCAGCTGTCCATGATTAATAATCATCACATCTTGTTAACTCATCCCGATGCCTTCCATGCCGGAAAATTACAAATTTTCTGGCTAATTTACTCAAACAATCGATCAACGTCTGAGGTAATAGGGAATACCTCTGCTCTGGTATTAAAAATGTATTTTTAATTTACCGATATTTGTATTTTTAAACCGACTACAGACATAAACTTGCGTTTGTCGTATCTGTTGTTATACATACACCTTACTGTGCTAATATACTAAGTGACATATACATTCGAACACCCAGTTTAAATGGTTTTATTTTAGTAAAATTTTGTATAAGTACTTAATGAAGCATAATAAGTAAATGATAAAAATTTCAAAATGATTGCACTGCTTTAAAGCCCTTTGACCTTTAATAATGTGTGGATGCACCCTGATGTGCTACGCATTCTCCAACGCGCCTAGGCATGCTTCTGATCAGGTGGTCAATGTCCTCCTGTGGTATCTCATTTCAGGCAACCACCAACTCCTCTCGAAGTGCTTCTAGAGTCTGAGGAGGACGTTGCAAATTGAGCAATCTCCTACCCATCATATCCCACACGGGCTCAATTGGGGATAAGTCGGGAGATCTTGGTGGCCATGGTAACAATGTGACATCATTATGTTGAAAGAAGTCTATTGTGACTCTTGCAATATGTGGTCGGGCATTATCTTGTTGGAAAGTTGGATCTGCCAGGGTGTCAAGATAGGGTAAAAGATGGGGTTCTAGAACTTCGTGGATATAACGCTGCGCGTTCATGTTACCTCTGATGAAGATTAAAGGTGACCTGGAA